GCGCACATTGAATTGGACCTGCAAGTACAGCTGAATTGGTCCCACATTCTGGTGACATCTCTGACCCGGAAGCAAGCAATCTGTGGCATCGGAAAGCCCCCCCGTTGCTCTCTTGTTGTGTTGTGCTTGTGGCCATTCTTGCTGCAAAGTATGAAGGAAATGTGACAATGCGATGTAGATAAGTTAACAACATTTTTGATCGGAGGGGGGATCAGGCGTGTCTTTTTTGGATTATTCAAAGGGTTTCTGCAAGAGTCCATGTTGCTCTACCGTGGTTTGGTGTTTGCTGGAGGATGTCGACTGTTGCTCCACAAAATGGGCGATCGACGCTGGACTATTACCAATCTCTGCCCACCTCGCCGTCAAGCATTTCTATTGACGAAATCCCAGATGGCCATCGAAGGCTAAGCACACTCCTCAGAATTCGATCTCAAAGTGAAAAGAGTGTGGATGGAGCAACGTAGGTTCGTCTTGGCAGCAATCTGTGCAGGGCCCCAGTAGTAAGGAAAGTTGCCAGCCAAGGAGACTGAATAGTGATGGTGTGAACAGGATTGGAAAACCTGCAGCTGCATTTGCTGGGCGCACAGCAGCTCTGGGAGCTTAGCGATGTAGAAAGAAACACAAAATTCCGTTGGGCTGTTCAGCAGGCCGTGCAAGAGGCTAGGGACCACAGCTCTCAAGAGGTTCTGGATTGTCTGATGTTTGATGAGGGTGCCCTCATGGCACAGCATCTGCAAGGAATCGAAGGTGTCAAGGGAGTAACAGTAGTCCAGGTTGGTAGCCATCAATTTCAGGTTCTATGAGCACTGTGTCCTTGTCAGTGAGACCAGAGGCTGGAAAGCATCTGCAAGTTCACCTCCCCCTCCACGCCAGGGACAAAGGAAATAGGAAAAAGCTGTGGAATGATGGTGCATTTGCTGCATTTTCTTGATTGCAATTTGTAGATGAAGATTTTGAACAGTAATGCAAAGGCACCGAATTCCTGTTGTGGGCAATTTATACAACTGCAATTTATTGTGTCATACCTCCCACAAACCTTCGGGAATGCCAAAGAGGCTAGGGCTAACATAAACGCTGTCAGTAGTGCTGTTTGTGCTCTGGTGTTGTGCAGGGAACTTTTTGACTGTTCTGGGGATTTATTTGGTCCTCCCTTCACCAAAATGTCGTACTAAACCATTGGGTGTTGGGAGCAGGAAACAGCCCTGGGAGTTCAAGTGGCTGCCGAGGCAATTCGACAGCTGCCCCATCCAAATGTGACAACCCTTCGAGACAATGACCTGATGGCACCCCCTGCCGAAGCTTCAGCTCCCACTGGGCAGTGGTCCATCTGCCTGGCGACCATGCACTTCTGGTCTCTAGGTAGTCAGCCCCCTTGGTCACATTATCTGGCCTTTGACCGAAAGTGCGCTAAGCTGCAGGCCATGGGCCTGCTGAGGCAGGGGTTTTGTTGTGTGCCCTTTGGTGCGAGGCTGTGTGGTGTGGCGGTGTCCATGCCGGACCTGTGGCGGACAAGGCGGGCGCTAGGGATCGTTGAGGGATGCGACTTGGAGCTGGCCAATAAGCTACTTGCGGCCGTGAACACCACAAGGTAGGTTTCTGTTTGCGCTGTACAGAATATTGTGCAAGTGCGCTGCGGCAATTGTTGACAAGGACTATGGTAGCAGATTTTGGCGGTAGAAGACGAACCTGAAAGGCTGTTGCTGGCGGTGTTTTGGAAATGTCCACACACAGCCATGATGTGCTGCTGCGCTGCATTGCGCATTCGGTCAGTGTCCCAAGTCGCCCAATAGGATTGAGAGCACTGCTCCTGCCAGGTTCGGACACATGAATCGGTGTGACATGACAGTGTTTGTTGATCTTACCAATGCAGAAGACAGCACTGAGTTAGCGACTGTGTATACACATACCAGCGTCATACAGTTGTGACCTTTTGCAACCAATATCTGCTTGATGGATAGTATTGCTTCAGAAATAGCAGTTGTCTGCAAAGAGTGGTAATGCCATGCTGGCAACTCAACTTCTTCCGTTGTCCTGAAGCCTTGGGGCCAATTTGTGGCAGCCTTCACATGCGATTGCCACTGCAACTGCTGTCACTTGGTAGGCCCAACACAGTGCGCTGCAACAAGAGATTTGCTTCCTGAAATTTGCTCAAATTTGCTTGCCAAAGTTGCTATCCGAAATCCAAGTGCTCGTAGATACCTTGCAGTCGACAGACTCTTAGATTGGCTTTTACACCGATGGCTGTGCAGTCCTTTGGATTGATGGCATAGTTGCATTGACCATTGTTGTCGCTTCATTGCCTTGAGGCACGAATTCAACACAACAGCAGCAAAATCCGGACATGTTTAGCTGCTGAAATTGAGGCTAGCTTGCACAGAAATTCAGATTCAACTGGGAACTAAGCCTGCTCAATTCTGGCTTATGTGGCAGTTCTGTTGTTGATGAGTACTTGGCAAGGACTTGCTGTGTACAGGAAAACAAACATATTCTCAAGGCCAATTTGGTGCTGTGGGAACACCTATGAAGAACTGTCGGAGCGATGCACCCTGTCCCAGATGACCACAGGTTGTATGTCCCTCGAGCAAAACAATGTATCGCGGCCCAAGGTTTTGAAGAGTGGCATTTGTGATGCCATCGTTGTTTGGTTGGACTATGTTCTGAACAGAGATGGGGATGTAGTGGTAAGTATGGGATGCCGACAGAAAAGTGCACAGACTTTTGTGTCAGATTGATGTACTATGCAGTGCCCTGTAGATCGCACGCAGCATCGTACATCGTACACTGCACAATGTCTTTAAAAAACGTTATCAGTGCACATCCTGCCACAATGGTCATGATGGTCATTTCCACAACACTAACCACACAACTGCACTTATGCACAACGTCACTGCCATCGATTTACATGCTCCACAGTGCTGCTGGGTGGCTTGCGAGTTGTCAGCAGACAATGCTTCAGGTGAAATCCTTCAGTTTTGATCGTGTCTTTCTGGCAAATTGCAAATCTGCTGGGGCGATGCTGTGGGAAGGTGAGCCTCCAGATTGGGCAGTAGACGTGACATCGCCATGCTGCTGTGGTTGCCTCAGCATCGCTTGTATGGTATTTGTGGTGTTCACGGCATGGGAGGTGACCCTTTCATTCCAATTTCTGGTGCACCTCTGCCACCGAAATGTGTGGCGTTCTCCTGCGTAGGTGTCGAATGCACCACACCCGAAGGCCGAGCCACACTATGCAATGCAAGCAATTGCCCTGTTGCCGAAACCTTTCCGTGTGCAGGCGGATGCTCGGCATGATGGGGTATCCAACTACGCAGTCTGCATATCCATAAATTGGAACCGTGAGAGTGGAGATCTTGAGTTGGATGCACAGTTTGAGGCGGTTGGGGACACTTTGATGGCAGATTCAAACTCGTAGAGCTCCAACCCCACCGGCGCATAGACATCTCTGAGAGCCATCTCTGAGACCAGAACCAAGATGTGCACATCACAGAAGGCTGCCGGGTGCTTCAATGTTGGGAGCGACTTACAAGTGCCTTCAGCTCAAGCTGACACCATTTGCTGCCCCTGCTGACAGTTGGGGCACTCAGCACCCACCACTGGGTGGACCATGGGGTCGCTGCAGCGATGGATTTCAGCAAGGCAACGTGGACCTATTTTCACTGCGCATGGTACGACTTACCTCATTGCTGAGTGGCTGCCTGCAGCAAAGGGGCACCAGATGTGCCCTGGTCACACTCTTTGTTGTTTTTGGTATGCGAAGTAAACGTTGAGGGTCCTCAGATCTGGCTTTCTCAGGATTGTACACTACTTGCAGCTGTGCCGTGCTTACTGCTGACGTGTGACTTATGGTGCTCTTTGCACAGCTCAGTTTGAATCTCGCACAGCTCTCTTCCTAAGTAAACTGAATGAAAGAAAGACTTCAGACCTTGATACATTGTGAGACCTATGGAGTGGACGACGGGGAGATCGATCTTGTGTCTGATGCATCAGATTGCACTGAAGTTTCTAATGCGGATTGCATGGAGAAGAATTGCAGCTATGCCAATGGGTTCCCCAACAATGCTGGTACGTCGGCAATAGTTCATGCACAATCGACGGGACGAGGTCCGCCTTGTGGTCCACAGATGGTGTAACAAGAATTGCTGGCGCTGGCACAGGCAACTGAATGTGAATAAGGGTCTGACGGCTACCTCCGTATCTTGATGTGTAATACTTCCTGAATGACGGCAACTAAGCATTCTCTCAGACTGTTGCAGGTTTCGAAACTGAGTAGCGCTGCGAACAATAACACATTGCCGGGGCACTATGCAACAGGAACGAATTGTCCCTTGCCTAGTGGGGAGCAGGCGTTGGCCGCGAAAGACAGAACTCTACAGCGACAAACTTAGAAGCCTGTTGCGCTGCGGGAGCTGAAGAGTTGAGCTATTGTGGGGCTTATCACAACCTTGGTCAACTCTAGTTCTTTTCGTGCATCCCACCAGTTCCCTCCGGTCTTCCGCATAAAATGCAGTGGAAAACTGCCAATGTCAACAGACTTCTGGTGCACATGTTCAGCATTGCTTATATCGCACCCATACTCAGCGTGTTATATATATGACATACAGTGACGGACTGCGCGGCTGAACACCATCGACCAGTCAGGGACTTGGACAGCCGCAACAACCAGAAAAGGCGGCCGAGGAGTGCAAACGCACGTCCCTCATGGATACCAAATTCGTGCTGTTGAGAAAGGGTGCAAGTGCTGGGGGCGGAATCCTGTTCTGGTGGGCACTTCATTGTGGTCTCCCCGACAAACAACAAAGGCGGAATCTCTTGCTGGGAGAATCTTACGTCATGGTTGCCCAACTGCCAGGCTACGTGGCAGCGGCCCCGGTGCCTTTCTGTCAAGCCTCCTCCGGTTGCCCGTTTTCCCGCGCTCGCATCCCCTCGGCCGCCCTCATGCCCACGGCCGCCGGAGCACCTCCACCGCAAACCGCGCGGACCGTGGCGACCGCTCCCGCCCCATGCCGCTGACACGCTCTCGCGCCCCAGGTAGGGTGCGGGGCCGAGAGCCCATCGGGGGCAGCGGGCGCAAGACATCTCGCCGCATTGCCGGCGGGCGCATTGCTGGTGGGCGCGATCCCAATGCGGGGGCGAACGCCGGACGGAGGGTTCGCCGATCGGCGAGGCTGACCGGCCACAAGCCCGGTGGGATCGCCGCGCCCGCTGACGCAGGAGAGGCGTCGGATTTGTCGATCAAAAATGTGCCGAGTGGTGGGGATGCGTCAGGTGGGATTGGCACTGGCATGGCGAGCGGATCATCGTCGGAAGGGGAAGAGGGGGCCGGGAGGGCTGGCGCAGAGGGAGGCGATCGCGGCGTCGATTGGATGGAAGATGTTTGTGAGGATGAGGGGGAAGGAAGCGGTAGCGAGGAGCTGGGACGTAGACATACGAGGGGATGTCGGCGGGCTGCTCTGTCGAGATCGGCCGGCCCGTCCAGAAGGGGGAGAGGAGTGCGGGCTAGGGCGGCCGGGGCCGGGCGCCGGAGGCAGAGGGAGCTGATAAGGGATGATTCGGACAGCGACGACAGCGATTACGCGCCGGAGCCGAGCGAGGAGGAGGATGTGGAGGATGAGGAGGATGCGAAAGTGATGAAGGTGATGGGGGCCGTCGGGAGGGCCTGGGGGCGGGCGGGAGAGGCGCGGGACGTCGTGGACCTGGTTTCGAGGGACAGCGACAGCGACGGCACTGTGGACGAGGTGCCGCTCGCGGCGAGGGCGGTGGTCAGAACAAAGGGAGGTGCGCTCCTGTTGGTGTCGTTGCTTGTGGTTAGCGTGACGCTGATTTTCGGCACGACTGGTGTCCCCTCGCCGTCCCACGCTGGCGTATCTCCAGATGCTTTAACAACGTCGAAATTCACACCCTGCATGGGGTCAGTGTTGTCCACATGAGCCGCAAGAAGGTGCGCAGAACGATTGTGAAAGGGGGCCGCACACGCTCGGAAACTAGGTCAGACGTTCGTGCGTCTTCTGCTGGGGCGGGAGGCGTGGAAATACTTGCCATAGGGTGATGCCGAGCGCGGCGGACAAAAGTCGGTGACTTTGTAGCGGCATATGGAAATTTGCTTTTCCTTGTAACGGTCAGCATGGGCTACTGGCACTAATTCGCCATATTGACTCGTATCAGCTGTTTCCCTCAACACCCCAAAGCCGAGCATGGTCTTGTGTATGTGCAATGCAGATGTTTCAGGACGCAGCAAGCGCAGTAGGCAGTCGCGTGCAGACAAAAGGCAGAAAAAGCGGCGCTGCTGGAGCCCAGGTACGATCCTTGTTCAGCTTCGCATTTAGAATCGTAACTGAGTACCTTGACAAGATGTCCTTGCCCCTTGTCGGGCTCCTTAGACTTGTTGCAAGGTGTTACACAGCGTCATATTCCACATTTTACTTGGCTGCTGCAGTTTTGCTCATCTTGGCAAGGCGCTGCCTGTGACGTCCTGGGCTTTGTATGTACTATCCAGTATTCTCCTGTGAATCCAGTGGTGGCGAATTGGCAGACGCATGTCAATGGCATTGATCATCTCAAGACATGTAACCTAGCCACTGCTGCTTCAATTAGGTGATCTGTTGGCCTGGTGGACTGAATGGTCTCCCTCCTCTCAAGTCGCTGGCCTTCCCCTCTCTTTCCTCCATGTTTGTAGAAACCCATGGACGTGAACCGATGATTGTACTGCTGGTATACAAATGCTGCTGTTGTAGCTCAAGTAGTACATGGCGTGTAGTGTTTGTTGGTTCTGTTCTTCGTAAGACTTATTGAGTGGTTTGCAGGATTCGCACCAGGGCCTGGGTGGTTGTGTGTGTGGCATCAGCAGCTCCGATGCTGCCGTAGCCAGTTGAAAATTCATGCTGCTTTGTTCAGGATGATATGTGGCTGTGCAAGTAACAGGGTACAGCATGTCTGGGCTTGCCATTCTGACAATATTGTGCTCAGCATAAGAGTAGAAGCAGCTTTGTGCCACCGCAACCCCATTCCACATCAGCATATGAGTGCCAAAGTGACTGGAGAAACGTTGCTTGTGTGGTCAACCTCACTGGTTCAATTTCACATGTCTTGTGAGTGCCCTGTGTACTGTGTATTCGCATGCAGAGAAGCCAGAGATCTTTGAGAACGGGTACATATCTGGCGATCTGGATTTGGATCCTGAGGCCCTTGGTTGGAGTAAAAGCAAGGAGCAAATGGAGCCATCGAGTGAGCTTCTGATGCCACTGCTGCCTTTTCAGAAAGAATTTCTTGCATGGGCAGTCAAGCAGGTGAGCTGCACAATGGGTGGACAGGACACCCCCTCCCTCTGTCACAGACTTTTTGAATTTTGGCTGAACATTGAATGCCTGTTGCTTTTGCTGTTGCCATTTTCTCGTTTGTTGGCATGGCTCCTCCATTGTTTCCCATTAGTCCTTTCTCAGCTGCAGATACATCCATGTGACCCTTCAGAGTGAAATCGACATAAATTTTCTTCTGACATCCCAAGGGGCAACAGTACCCTTCACTTTCTCCATTTTTTTATGCATCAATTGCTGTCTGCCCGGATAAGTTTGCTGCTGTGTGGTCCTGTCCCTGCAGTTTTTGCTGGAATGTGCAGGTCAAACAACTAAGACATTAAGGAGACATTCTTCATTCTGTAGTAAACTGCAACAGGGAATTTTCAACAAGGTGGCCTTTTGGAAGTTCTCCATCCCACTGGCAATCCACATGGAATCTATCTCACTGCATCCCACTTGCAATCCATCCTCTGTCTTTGTCTACCTGTTGGACATTGAGCTCTCCATGTTTGCCGACGATGAACAGCCAGAAGTTGTCTGATGGAAATGCAGTTTTGGTATCAATGTGCTTGCATGTAGAATGCTTTTGGAAGTTTCCATGCAGTGATGTGTTGCCCAGGAGCATGGCCCATTGCGGGGAGGGGTACTGGCAGATGAAATGGTGGGTGCAGGGACTTTCACAATGGTTGATGGATTGATTTGGATGTGTGGTCTACTTGCTGTATACTTCAAGTATGTCCAAGAGGGCAAAGCAACAACTTTGTTATCTTATTCTTTTGAAGGATTTGCTGCCCTTTGAGACATCTATCCAGTCAACAAATGCATTTGCAGGCGAAGGCTAGGAGACAACAGAAGTAGGACATGAAGCGTTTGTGCTGGACAAAACGGCCAACATTAGAACCTGTACATAAGATGGACAGGTTTAATTGATACTTCACATTTAATTTTTCATCAAGAAGGCGTCTACTGTGAGACCTTGCTCAGCGTGCTTCATTCTTTGTCCAGCACTGTTAGCACCAGCTACCAATGGTATCGTTTGTTTCTAGTTCTATATTGCGTTACTTTCTGTCGTACAGGAAGGATTAAACCAGCACAACACAAATTCATCTTGTCATATATGTACTGGACGCTATCCATGCACTTGCGAGCAAAGCAGAATGATGTTGCAGTGCGTTCGATCATAATCTTGCTCATTTTGATCTGTGAAGTTTTGGCTGTGGCAGGGCATGGGGAAGACCATCCAGGCCATCGCTGTGATCCTGGCCAACCCAATTGTACCTGCTCGGGGGCTAAAGACGCCAAAGCATCAACTAGCAGCCATGAGCAAGCCAGGTGCATGAAGTGGAACTCTACCATGAAGCTGTTGACAATGAAACAATGCAGGACTTCCAACAGCCATTTTTGTTAGAGAGGGAGTGTGTGTTGTTGTGTGCTCATGCCTGTATTGGGTGCATGTTGTCTAATCTACCGCAACAAGGCCATGGCCTTGATTGATGTGGATTGTGATGGGGTCTTGATTGTATGGCCCCAGCCAGTGCTTCCATTGAAAGTTCTGTCCAGATTTTATGTTGCAATTGACAGAGCAACGTCTCTGCAATTTCAAGTCATTGATGGAATTGTTGCAACCCTAGTGCTATGTTGTGGCCACAACTGCCATGATCCCATATTATTAGAAGAAGGCGATACCTAGGCAGATTTTCGATTGAGTTGGTTGAGTTGAATCCATTTGAAGTTTGCTCTATGGGACTGCAGGTTGTCCCAGCCAGCCTTTGGCCATGGATCGTTCTCCCGCCATGTGTGTGCCCATTTCTGAGTCCCTGCCCACCACACCTCCTGCGTATACAGCAGGCATGGCAAGGGTTTTGGATGACGTTGCTGTGTCAGCGTGCTGTGGGACGACCCTGGTTGTGTGCCCACTGGTTGCTGTGATTCAGTGGAGGCAGGAGATCGCACGGTTCACCACCCCAGGCGCTCTGAAAGTTCTCATCTACCATGGTGAGGGGTGAGCGCTCTGCATCTGAGCAGCAGAAATCCTCACTGACTGCGCAATTGCCAGTGAAAAACAAAGCACCTACCAATACCTTCCTGTTGGGCGGTGTTGGGCGATCTGCTGAGACCCGTATCACTTTGGTGGGGAATAGGAGCATGAGTCAGCATTTTGTTACTCCAGTGAGAGCGTGACACAGCACATCCTGTCGCCTTTGATGGTGTACCCGTTGCTGTTCACAATCACAAGGATTGGTCCCAATTGAGCTTTCCTGTTCCTAGGTGATCTGAGGCCCATGGCTATCTGTCCAGTTGTCTGTCAGTTTAATGGTGTCCTATCACAGAATAATATGGACTTTTTGCAGCATCTTGCACAGTGCTGGAAAGAGTTAGCACCTGACATCGCCTTGTGGGTCCAAGGGTGTTGCTTATCATGCTGTGACAGATGTTATCAAGCTGGATTTCTGTGGGAAAGCATCTCAGAAACGTAGATTCTTGATCGAGGGGTTCCCAGTTGTGAAGTTTTGTCCTTTCCGCAGATGAGGCAGTCTTGGGTGTCGCGTCCTTGCTTGTACCAGTGCTGAAAGACGTGCTGGGATAAGACCGTCTGGTGTTCCCTGATCTCCATGTCGTCTTCCGTACAAGAATTGCACTCCCTTGCTATGCAGCATGTTTCAGATGAATGCAACAAGGTTTTTGAATGCTGCAGGACTATATTGCACTGCCAAATTCCACCATATATAGCTCACTTTCTGGCTGGCAGCAGTGAAGCTGTCTTCTTTTTGCGTTGGAAACAAGTGATGTGCATCTGCTGACCTTGCTGAGATTGTAGCATCTGCTACAATCTGTGGACTGTACATACAGTTTGCAGATCCATCGTGACTGTCGTTGTGCAGTTTTTGTTTATTTTTTCCTTGACAGCGAATGCGCTTAACACTTTGAATGGATTCCATCCTCAGTCTGCTTTGTCATTGGTGTCAAGGACCCAAAAGGACCACAAGCCAGGCTGAGCTGGAGGAGGCAGATGTTGTGCTCACAACATACTCAATACTTGAGAATGAATACCGGAAGTCTGAGATGCCCAGCAAGGTACAGTGTGTGGTGGAGTGTCATGATTGCAATCGCTCTCGAAATGCAGCTGGTCCAACATGTGCCGTCGTGCTGACACCTGGAATCCAGACACCTACCACGTGGAGTCCTAAAACCGATATTGTCTGTCAACAGAACTGAAGGCATGTCATGTGCAGGGTACCTCTTTGACGAAGAATTTTGTGACACTCTTGTCCATTCTGCCAGGCGTTGTGCAGAAGTCTCTGAATGGCACACAGCAACGCGACCATTATAGGCTCCAGAAGTTGCAATGCTTAGCAGACACTTGCCAAGATTCTGTGTGTCTGTGCATCACATGAGGCCAATCAGGGAGGCTTCATTGCACTGCAAAAACTCCTAAATTTCTGAGTATTGGCTGGAATGTGGTCGGAAACTCACCAGCAGACTCACAGAATGCCACAAGGTTGACCTCTAAGGCAAACGTTTGCACTAACTCTGGGGTTACCAGTGCTTCCATTGACGCTATTGTGCTTGACACGAAGTACCCTGCAGATTGGGGCTATTGCAGGCTCGATGAGAATGTTGCTGGCCTCTGCTTACTGTTCTTGTATTTTTCAGTTGATACTGTTGAAAGTGTGTTTGCCAACACTTTTGTGTGTTGTCTGGACCTGGTCAGGTGCAATGCAGGTACTGTGGGAAGAAATTCTACCCCGATCGGCTGAAGGTCCATTTGAGGTACTTCTGTGGGCCAAATGCCGTTAAGAGCACAGCTCTGGCCAAGCAGAAGCGCAAGACGGTCTCCAAAACAAAGACGATACCTTCCAGGAAAGGTCAGCATACACAGCACATGCTTCTTTCTTCCCACGCAAGCATATGTATTGCTTTCTGAGCATTGTGCAGGCCTGTGCGGTAACCATCATGCTATTGCAGAATTCAACGTGATTTGTAACAGTTTTGTAGACAATGTTGATAACACTACGACTCAGATGCGTGTGACAACTTAGATCCGCATTTTGTGAGAGTGCTTACTGATGTACTTCTTATTGCAGCCATTCATTGCACTGCACATATCCTTATTGGCAGCTGACTTCCAGTCATCTCTCACTTAACCTGTGGCACTACTAAATAATGCCAAATATGGGAGTAATCTTGCTTCAGTGCATCTCTTGATGTATTCCAAAGCCTTTTTGTTCATCCACACCAAGGCCAGTGTGATATTTTGTCCAAACTGTCGCGCAGATCGCAGGTCACAGTGGCCCTGACTCTGCACTGTGTGGTACAACAGGCCAAAGGATTGGTAAAATATTTTGCCATTAAGCTGCTCTACTGACCAGCAGAACCCCATTCTAATGATATTGTGCTCCACCCCAGCAAACAACTGCACTGATGTTCCATAAATTTCTGATGTGTTGCTCGCTCTTCAGAACTTTCTTGCTTTTTGCTGTCATTCACAGTGGGCCAGTGATAGGCCCCAGCGTAGATTGTGTCAGGTCCTGCTGGTGGCTGGTCAGTTGGCTCATTGTGGCTTCCACCCTGTGGACTGTGGGATGTGGAGGGCACAAGACAAACAGAAGCTGGACGATACAGTGATGTGGCTGTTGCGGGTTCCCACAGACCTTGGAAGACAAATCAGCACAATGCCAAATTCAACACAATGATTTCGATAATTAGTGCAACAATCCAACTGCTGCCTTGCATCGAGTTGTTGTGGTGGCTCTGACAGGGATGGCCAGCAGCTCCAAGGGATTCCATCTGGGGTGCGAGTCAGCTGAGGAGGCGGGCATGATGGGTGGCAGTGTAAAGGACCTTCCACCTAACCTCCGGCATCTCTTTGACGAAGGCCGCATGTGGGCACATGAACAGGACGCCCTGGACATGATCCTTGAGGCAACGAGGGACAAGGGGGAAGACTTTGGCAAACGCTCAGGTTCCTTACTGCATCGGGTGAGCCCCCTCATAAAATTCTCCATGCTGGATTGCACAGCAGTCAGCCACTTCCATGGTGCATGCTGCAGGGGCTATGCACACGTGCTATTGCTCGTTTGCAAACATCTAGTTTTCTGGTCCCGGTGTGCTTGTCAAGTTGTGGACGAAAATGTGGACGGCGTCCTGTTGCCTAATAGTGCGACGTGCATACATGCAATGCCAGTTCCAATGCTTTTGGGCCACTAGTGAACGTTCATTTTATCTGGGCGCACTCTAACTGTTGTTGTTTGCAACTGATTTGCACCAATGCAGATGCTGAGTTAAGGAAAGTGTGATAGGAAGTGCACCAAAGGGTCAAAATCCATGTTGATTGCCTTTGCACACTGTGAACTTCACATCCCTTTGCTTAACGGGTGTTGTCAGGCCGCTTGTCACAACTCGCTGAAACTGGTGACATTAGGACTCTCTGGTGTGCTGATTGTGGGGTCTGAATGATTAGTTTGGCACCAATTACTCACCCTTTTAGGGTGGACACTCTTCATGCACTGTCCACATCTAGTGCAGGTTGCGTCAGCCGCGTGTGAAAACGTTGATCCTGCAGAAATACAAGTCGAAGAAACAGTGGTTGGAACAATTTCGGTTAAGCATGAGCATGGCTGATCTGCCTGTGGTTTTTGCGCCCACAGATATGCTGGTGCCGCATCGTTCTGGATGAGGCACACAGCATCAAGGAGAGGCGTTGCAATACGGCTCATGCTGCATTTGCACTGAAGTCCAAGTACAAGTGGGCCCTGAGCGGAACGCCGCTGCAAAATCGAGTGGCAGAGCTGTACTCTCTCATTCGATTCATCAGGTGAGCTGCCTTCCCACTCACCCAATATAACAAGTGTATGCCTTTGCTGGAATGCTCTTTGAGGAATGTATTTGATAGATGATTGATTTTGCTGTATGGTGACAATCAGGACATCTCACACCCCTTGCATTTTTTTGTTTGCGTGTACCTTGACGTGGGTAATTTCGACTTTCGACTCGATGATGCTGTGTGAGCTGTGAGTTATGGGTATGCTGCACATCTGATTGCTCAATCTTACATGTGTGGTGGCACTTCATGAGTCCAGTCGAGTCTCTGTGGAACACAGTGCGAATGTGAGAACCAGCTGCCCCCTGCAGTTCTCCTGAACCTCCAATGGGATGCGCTTGTGTTGAATTTTGCACAGCTGTGGAGCGTTGTTTCATAGTTGAAGGAACAGGGAAGGTTCTGTGAGCAATTCTCGAAAACTGTGCAGCCAATAGCAGCCAGGGCGCATCGCAACTGCAGAACTGATGCACAATTCTGGTGTGTTGCGAGTTTTTGTGTTGACATCTGACAAAGTCAGCGTGAGGTACCATTTGCCAGTTAGGGTTCTTTATGAGGGAGCTTGACAGCCCTGTTGTTTTCCTTCCTGTTTGAAAGGACGTACCCCTACTCATACTACTTCTGCCGCAAGTGTGACTGCAAGTGCATCGACTACCCCTTCAAGTCCAACTCACGGCAGTGCCGCACCTGTGGCCACTCGCCTCTTCACCACTTCTGCTGGTGGAACAAGTACGTCGCAAACCCCATCAAGAGGTATGGGTACAGCTCTGCAGGCAAGCTGGCAATGGCAGTCCTGAAGACCGAAATCTTGGACCGGACACTGCTGCGAAGGACGAAGGTGCAGTGTGCTGACGACCTGGCACTCCCACCAAGGTGAGCAGTACATATTTTGTTGAATTGCTTGAGGTAAGTTTGCCTTTGCAATTGTGGGACTGGCCCAGCACTTTGGCAAGACCGGCTGTGGCACACTTGTCCTATGCTGTGTTCAGTGCCTTTTCGCCTTATGAGGCGATGACTGGACAGCAGAGCTAGTGTCTGTTCAACTGCATGCTTTTCTTCCACACTTGCTGACTGTAGTCCTGCTTTGGCAGCTTGTATGGATGGTATTATGATCAGAGTTGGACAGAAACAGTGATGCCAGACATTTTCACTGCCCTTCTTTGGCCAAATGTCACAATGAAGAGAGGGCTGAATGCATAAGAAATTTGACATGGTGGCTGTATCACAAAGTATTCCGTATACTTTGGTAGAGGCTTCGACAGGCAGGGTGTGGTTTGGGCCTGACTGACAGGCTTCTTAGTGTG